ATTTCAACGCGCATTTAAAGAACATCACCATATGCGATTTCGAATGTCAGGCTGACAGACGTCTGCGTTTTAGGCGGGCTGTAACATTCGACGACGAATTTGGGCCAGGATAAAAATTACATATTCGGAATCTGTGTTATCTAAGCTTTCTATCGATACCAGTTTCATTGAATGTGAAGCCGTTTTGGTGTACTTTGCTCGTATTTCACGGCATTTAACGTACATCATTATATGCGATTTCGAATGTCAGGAGGCAGACCTCGCGTTTTAGGAGCTGTAACATTCGACGACGAATTTGGGCCAGATAAAAGTTACATATTCGGAATCTGTGTTATCTATACTTTCTATCGATACCAGTTTCATGAAATGTGAACCCGTTTTTGGGTGCGTACTTCGCTCGTATTTCAATGCGCATTTAACGTACATCACCTAATGCGATTTCGAATGTCAGGCTGCAGACGTCTGCGTTTTAGGGCTGTAATTCGACACGAATTTGGGCCAGGATAAAAATTACATATTCGGAATCTGTGTTATCTAAGCTTTCTATCGATACCAGTTTCATTATAAAATGTGAAGCCGTTTTTTATTGTTTACTTCGCTCGTATTTCAACGCGCATTTAACGTACATCATGATTTCGAATGTCAGGCTGACAGACGTCGGCGTTTTAGGAGCTGTAAGATTCGACGACGAATTTGGGCCAGGATAAAAATTACATATTCGGAATCTGTGTTATGTAAGCTTTCTATCGATACCAGTTTCATTGAATGTGAAGCCGTTTTTTATTGTTTACTTCGCTCGTATTTCACGGACATTTAACGTATCATTATATGCGATTTCGAATGTCAGGCTGGCAGACGTCGCGTTTTAGGAGCTGTAACATTCGACGACGAATTTGGGCCAGGATAAAAATTACATATTCGGAATCTGTGTTATCTAAGCTGTCTATCGATACCAGTTTCATTGAATGTGAAGCCGTTTTTTATTGTTTACTTTGCTCGTATTTCACGGACATTTAACGTGCATCATTATATGCGATTTCGAATGTCAGGCTGGCAGACGTCGGCGTTTTAGGAGCTGTAACATTCGACGACGAATTTGGGCCAGGATAAAAATTACATATTCAGAATCTGTGTTATGTAAGCTTTCTATCGATACCAGTTTCATTGAATGTGAAGCCGTTTTTTATTGTTTACTTCGCTCGTATTTCACGGACATTTAACGTGCATCATTATATGCGATTTCGAATGTCAGGCTGGCAGACGTCGGCGTTTTAGGAGCTGTAACATTCGACGACGAATTTGGGCCAGGATAAAAATTACATATTCGGAATCTGTGTTATCTAAGCTTTCTATCGATACCAGTTTCATTGAATGTGAAGCCGTTTTTTATTGTTTACTTTGCTCGTATTTCACGGACATTTAACGTGCATCATTATATGCGATTTCGAATGTCAGGCTGGCAGACGTCGGCGTTTTAGGAGCTGTAACATTCGACGACGAATTTGGGCCAGGATAAAAATTACATATTCGGAATCCATGTTATCTAAGCTCTCTATCGATACTAGTTTCATTGAATGTGAACCCGTTTTTGGGTGCGTACTTTGCTCGTATTTCACGCACATTTTGAATGTCAGGCTGGCAGACGTCTGCGTTTTAGGAGCTGTAACATTCGACGACGAATTTTGGCCAGAATAAAAATTACATATTCGGAATCTGTGTTATCTAAGCTTTCTTTCGATACCAGTTTCATTGAATGTGAAGCCGTTTTTGGGTGCGTACTTCGCTCGTATTTCACGGACATTTAACGTACATCATTATATGCGATTTCGAATGTCAGGCTGCAGACGTCTGCGTTTTAGGGGGGCTGTAACATTCGACGACGAATTTGGGCCAGGATAAAAATTACATATTCGGAATCTCTGTTATCTAAGCTTTCTATCGATACCAGTTTCATTAAATATGAAGCCGTTTTTTATTGTTTACTTCGCTCGTATTTCAACGCGCATTTAACATACATCATTATATGCGATTTCGAATGTCAGGCTGGCAGACTTCTGCCTTTTAGGAGCTGTAACATTCGACGACGAATTTGGGCCAGGATAAAAATTACATATTCGGAATCTGTGTTATCTAAGCTTTCTATCGATACCAGTTTCATTATAAAATGTGAAGCCGTATTTCAACCCGCATTTAACGTACATCATTATATGCGATTTCGAATGTCAGGCTGGCAGACGTCGGCGTTTTAGGAGCTGTTATGAGGCGCCGATCTAGTCAATATTCTAATTGATTAATGTGGGTAGTCTTACTTTTTATATGCTCACTATTTTTCGCTATATTTGATCATTTCTATTTTTATATAGTAATTGAAATTTCTATTTATATGGTCATTTACTTTTTATATGCTCATTTACTTTTTATGTGGTCATTGAATTTCTATGTGGTCATTGAATTCTTATGTGCTCATTGACTTTTTGTATGCTCATTTACTTTTTATGTGGTCATTGAATTTTTATGTGCTCATTGACTTTTTATATGCTCATTTACTTTTTATGTGGTCATTGAATTTTTATGTGCTTATTGACTTTTTGTATGGAACTCACGAGATTTAAATACGGTTATCTTGCATATTGACGATTAACTGATTTCGGACAGTAGCGAACATCTAATGTAAGTACTCCACTAGTAAACATGTAATCACCTCGTCAACTGTTATGAAATATGAGTCAAGTGGCAACAGCGAGAGAAAGAAATGAAAATGGATTGTTTTTGTTCTTTGATAACTTAAAATTGTTGCTCGCATCGGTATCATCTTTTCAAGAGAAAATCAATTCCCAGAATTTGTGTTTGACAGAAATTGATCAAGCTATTGATCGACTTCAGACGGCTGCAGACACCCTTCGATTGTTAGTTACAAATATTGAGCACAATGATGCATACTCCGAAGTAAAGCTAATATTAGACTTCACTTTATCCAAGGTTACAGAAGTTTATATTGCATTAAAAGAATACAGTAACCAAGCATCGGCATTAATAACTCAAAATTTCTATTCGTGTCCAACTGCTAAGACAGGAGATCGCCCTGGTCGTCCCCAATACCCCCAATACATCGTTGAGAAAGATCAAATACAATTTCTACGGCACCTTCACTTTCCGTGGATAAAAATTACTAGTCTCCTGGGAATAAGCGAGAGCACACTTAGACGAAGAAGAATATTATACGGAATGACTCAACAGGAGGAATCAAATTGGACTCAGATTACAGACGAGGAATTAGAGCATAGGGTTCGAGAAATCCAAGAATTAACTCCTAATATAGGACAAGCCCGGCTTCTTGGAGCTCTGAGAAGTAGAGGACTTCACATTCAAAGATGGCGAGTGAGAAACTGCCTACGTTTTATTGATCCTGTGGGTACAGCTTTGCGATGGCGATTAGCAATTTACAGAAGAAAGTACTTTGTTCCCACCCCAAATTCTTTGTGGCATATTGATAGCAACCACAAGCTTATCAGGTGGAGACTGATTATTCATTTGTGTGTTGACGGATATTCTCGACTCATTATTTATGCACATTGCTCCAGCAACAATAAAGCAGCTACAGTTTTGGAACAATTTGTCCAAGGAGTGAACAACTTTGGATTGCCATCGAGAGTGCGAACTGACTACGGCATGGAAAACTTCAAGGTGGCACAGTTTATGCTGGAACACAGAGGTGTTGGGAGGGGTAGCATAATAACTGGTAGTTCCGTACATAACTCACGTGTTGAGCGAGCTCACAGGGACGTCTACGCTGGCCTACTGTGTTTTTTTGCTAGAACATTTGCCCACTTAGAGGACAACCAGTTCCTTGATCCTTTAAACGAACTACATTTGTTTGCCTTGCATTATACATACATTCCTAGAATTAACAGATGCTTAGAAAAATTTAAATGCCAGTGGCAAAATCACCCTTTATCGTCTGAAGGAAACCGCACCCCTCTTCAGTTATATACATCTGGTGTAATTGAGAATTGGCACACTGGATATTCTGGAGTTGAGAGCATCTTAGATCCCAGCAATACGCAGTATTACGGTGTAGATCCCGCAGGCCCATTCCCCGTAGATGAAGATGATTACCAGGTCATAGTTCCAGAAACAAATATTGAGATTTCCAGTGAACAAATGGAAAATTTAGCTAACGAATGCCACCCTTTGCAGGATGATCGTGTAAATGGTGAAGATACTTACAAACAATGTTTAGAAATTCTAAGCTCCATGATTTAGTCAGCCAAACATGCAAAACACCCAAACACAAGCGTAATTGCATGTTCTTTACATACCAACTAAAGCAGATGTTGCACAAAGCATTAAAGCAAATGAGCATAGTTGAGCATATAGTAAATTTCAATATGAAAATGAACATTTTTATATCAAAAATGGCTATGAAATCCAATATATTTTCATTTGAACACGTTATGCGGGAGCAATTTCAAAAAGAACTATTAAAACCTTTAATATATCAATATCAATAGTATTAAAAAGTTACAACGTACATGGTTACAGTTTGTTCCAAGCTCGAAATTGTGCTTGTGGTTATAGTAACATTTTCAAACTTTAACTATAAATATCAATAACAATAACAATTACATGCAATTACATTTACAGAATGGTTAACCATTTACTTCCTTTATAAACATTAACTCAAATTACCCCAAAATTGTCTGTAATAAATATGTATGTCAATTTAGTATTTAACTTGCACACACTCCTTTACACTATGTTCATTTCCCAGTTACCAGAATTTAGAATTCCCATGAATTCCTCCCTTAATTCACAAAAGTTTGAATAGGTGCTTGGCATTTCCAGAGTAAAACTACATGTATGAGCAACTGGCCTTCTCTGAAGACCTTCATGAGATGTGAAAGTAATCTTTAAGCTGTCAGTAAGCATCACATCAGAGGCAGTACAAAATCTTAAAAATGTGGTAAGCTTGGCCTCATCTAGTCCCCTGATGAACCTTTTTAAATGTGATAAGTTGGTGTTACTGGATTTGCATGTAGGATAGAAATAACCTTGGCATTAGTTGGTATAATAGACTCATATAATGTATTTAAGGAACATATATCAGGAAGATATTTCTTTAGTTCAGAAACAATTGGTGCCCAGCAATCAGCTACATACTTGGCTTTTTGGATTATTTCCTTATGGGCAAGCTCTGTGACTATTTCTATCAGGTTCTCTTTTGTAAATCTTCGCTTACAATCAAATGCTGACAAAAACTCTACCAACTCTTTATTTTCACATTCAATAGTATTATTCAGGCATGCATTCACCAGGCATGCTTCAGAACGAAACAAATAATTCTTAAAAGAATCCTGCAACATTTGGCAAGAAACACTACCCTCTCCAAAAAGACAAGCAGCAAGAAAAGCCTTGCTTAACTTAAAGGGAAAATAAAAGCAAGTGACATATCCCTTCACTAGTATCCTTGCAACAGCTTCCCACCTCTTTCTATTGAAATCATGTCTAATATAGGGAACTCTCTCACTTTCACCTAGCATGTATGATTCATAAGCCTCTTTCCAGAAAAGTGAAAACAACTCTCTTAACACTCCACTTCCCTCCCCCAACTCTTCATGGCCATGTTGATTAATAATAATGACATGCAAAAAAACATTTGAAATAGATGGATCTGAAAATAACTCAAGCATATCCTCTCTGATTAGATACCTATGAACTCTTATGGTCCTAGTGGGGATTTCAAGATCATTTGGCAATGGTGATAATGTGGCATCATTAGTAACTACAGCCTCAGTTTTACTAATAGTTGGATCATACCATGAAATGTCTTCATGAAATATTTCTGGTAATACTTGACTATTTCGAGATACAATAGACGGAGATGGCAAAATAACTGGATCTTCACAAACGTTAACAGGTTGAGCTAAAACAGAAGGTTCATTTGGAACTGTCATTTGGGGTGGAATGGCATGCTGGGTTGCTTGACTTGCTTCTCCACAATACTGTGAAAATGTTTCTTTTCTTTGGCTTCCATGGTCACTATCATCAGATTTTTCAAAAAAGGCAGAATTTAAGAGCTGCTCATCCTCCTCATCATTATCCTCTTCCTCTAGGGGATCAAGGCATCTGATGTACACACTTCCCTGACCAGAGAATTTTATTATTCTCTCGCCATTCATCTGTACTCCATCTGCCAGTTTTGGGATTACCAAGGTTCCATAGCAAGCCTAAATTTTTTACAAAAACATGTTCAGTGGCATATAAAGGCAACAAAATATTGCTGCGTTATGGGTAATTGTTTTTGGTGAAGTTAGGTTTTGCTTTAGAAAAGAAAACACCAACTAGTTTTTTAACTTTAGTGCATCTGTACCTTCATGAATTGAAAAAGAACGTCTCTGGGAAGTTGCCTTTCAATATTTTTCCTTAGTTCAACGGGACTCCATCGTCTGTCGAACGGAAATTTGTGAATTATTAGCCCTCTCTCTTCAAGCTTCACTTTACTTGAATGACTTGGTACTTGTTTAGTGTACGGGTTTGGTATAATAACTAAATCTTTGTGGCATATGGACTTGGCAGGTCGTCCGGACTTTGCATCCGATCCTGGTGACTTTTCACGGCTATTCGAACGTCGCTTTCTACCCAAACTTCGTGTTCTTGATCTTCCAACAACATTTCCGCTGGGTCTCCGGCCTCTGGAGTTGTACGTTGGAAATCGTCGCGCTAGTTTGGTTGCGATGGCATCTCCACCGCTTGTAGTAGACGTTGAGGCAACAGAATTGTCGCTCGATGCAGTTGATGCAGCTAAGTTTTGAATATCAGCATTTCCTATATTACCAATTGCCTGAAGTGCTTGTGCAGCAGCTTCGCAAGCGGACGAGATTTCTTCTAGTTTTTTTGACGCCATCTTGGCTGGTGTTTAGTAAGTTACTAGATTGTACTTTGTAATTAGTTTTTATTTTCGACGGAATGAGCACATAAAAAGTTAATGAGCACATAAAAATTCAATGAGCATATAAAAAGTAAATGAGCATATAAAAAGTAAATGACCATATAAAAAGTAAATGACCATATAAAAATTTAGTGTTCAGAAAAAGGCGAAACAGATCAAATAGAAATTTCAATGACTATATAAAAAAATAGAAATGATCAAATATAGAGAAAAATAGTGGGCATATAAAAAGTAAGACTACCCACATTAATCAATTAGAATATTGACTAGATCGGCGCCTCATAAGCTGTAACATTCGACGACAAATTTGGGCCAGGATAAAAATTACATATTCGGAATCCGTGTTATGTAAGCTTTCTATCAATACCAGTTTCATTAAATATACTGCTTGTTTTTAACGGCAAAATAAAAATTACGACACAATATATTGTGTTTACGTATCGAATTTAGTGCGGATGAATGTCGTGCTAGCTTCGCTTATGTTTGATTTTGTTGTTCTGGGAGGAAGAGCGAATCCTGTGGTGAATCCTGTGGTAGCTTCACACTAGTTGATTTGTCAGCACACTTGGCTCGAAATGCATCTCTGAAGGCACCACTATCAAACTTGGTTTTTTCTATTTCAACCGACAAAACTGAAGACTTAACCCATTTGCAGTTTTCTACATCAAACATCTCTAAACCCAGGGATGTCATTTGTGGTGGTCGAACAAGCTTACCAGCACAAAGGAGATCGCCTATTGACACTGACTTAGGATACTTAGTTTTAGGGGCTGCAGTATTGGTACATATTCTGGTATTCCTTGATCACACATGTGACATTGCTGTTTCTGAGGCTTCATAACATGCATTCCATGTAACAAATTAGAGTCACCTTTAGCTATTGCTATTTACATCATTAGCACATTTAACACCAAACATATGCTGTACCCTGACATGTCCAATTATGTGCTTTGTGCCAATTACACATATCTTGCCAAAAAAGCAAAAAAATTTGGGGGCTTTTCCAAAAACATCTGATACGAATATAATGTGCATAGATTATAATGTGCAATAGAATGTTGACAATATCCAACCCTGTTTCATCTAACTTAGCTCTTTTGAAATTTTGTTTCTTGCTCCTTTCCATGTTCTCTCAACATTTGTTTTCTTTTACACCATTTTTGTTAAAAACAGTCCTGCTGCGCAGCTCCCTATTTTTGTGATTTGTCCCCAGATCTCTTTTCCGAGCTGTATAAATGTGACATTATAATCGAGATTTGATGTTCAGTTTTATGATGTTTTGTGACGTAGAGAAGATGGACAGGACTTTACAGGGGCTCTTTGGGCAAAAGCGGCAATAGCATTCTGCATTCCCACAAGCAAGAAGCAATATTTACAAGTGTATATGTTAAAATATTTTCTTGTGTAAAGGTCATCTATTTAAGGTAGTATAAAAGAATAAAGCAATAGGTACGATCATTCTACTTCAAGAAGAATTTTCTGTGATTTGAAGACTTGTTTTTAAATCCATGTAGGTGTACCGTTTACATGTTGCATATTAAAAACATGTACTTATTTGGTGTTAGGAGCCATTGTGTTCATGCTGATACTTTGCATGTTGGTCATTGTGTGGCGACAGGCAACTCAATTAAATCTTACATCAATTGTAAACGAACAAGAGGTATTGTGTTCTCTACCATCAAAATCAGTTCAGGTGAACTGATTTATTGTATTAATATTAGTGAATCTAATAAATTGAATTTTGAACTGCATAAATTTTTTTAATAGACTGTATTTCCTACCTGAAGGACATGTTTCCTAAAACAAGTATTGCTAGGTCAATATCCTAGGTCAATATCCTATGGCTAGGTCAATATCCTGCAAAATGGCGGATGCAAAATTTTAGCTCGGATAAATCTTTTTAAAAGATTTCAACATACTCAACCTAATAAGCTGTCTAATAAGCTCAAGACCGGTGCAAGAGTTATAAGTTATTTGATAGATGCTATGGCGACAACAAACAAGCTAAGTTTAGCTTGGAATCGAGATTATGAATCGTTGAAGAGGTTTGTTTTTGGGACCTTCAAACTTGATGGTATTTGGTCTCAACCCGGCGGGTATAGAAAGCTTTTCACAACTGAAGATTCAACAATACTCTGGAGAAAGAGTAAGAATTTGTTGTCCTGTAATGGATCGCTAAAGCTAACATCTTCAAGAAGGAATTATGTAAGCATATATGTGAGTGTGAAGACAACATCTCAGAACCTGTGTCTTTGCATGACATGGGCAAAGTTCATTCAGGTAAATCGTCTGATTTCTACACTGATATAGAATGTATGAAGCAAGAGCAACTAGTGAATGGGGAGGCAATCAATCATTGGTCGAACTCTATCTTGCACATAACTTCAGTAATTTCGGAATTTAAAGAATTCATCAGAAAGAATAAAACAAGCCTTACAGAGGGGACTTCAACAAGGTCAATTAACCATAACGAAGAAATAGAAAATGTAAATCAAGATTGTATTGAAACTGATGCTAATGACACCTTAGTGTCAGAACAATTAAAAAATTCTGTAGGAAGCAATGAGGCAGGATTCATTAGTCAGCTGGATGAATCTAAGGAGGCTCAATCAAACATGACTGATGAGACTCTTACTGATAGAGAAGCCGGCTGTGTTGTGTAGCGTCGAGAATCCTGTGCCCAAGAGGTTAAAAGGCACCCAAAACCATATAAACCTAAGGAAAACCCAAACATGGTTGATAACCCTGAAGATATTTCACTAAGTGATCTATTACAAAGAAATATTTAAGGCGATGGCTTTATTGGGGTTGACCAAAGGCGAAAGAGTAAAGAAACTTTTCCTGTCTGAAATACATGAGAGCGTGCAAGAGAATCAGATCTTATCCTACTTAGAGCAATAAAATATAATACCTACCCACACATGTTTCAAAGTCAACATAGAGGAACACGATCTGCTAAAATCCATATACCATCCTTAATGTGGTCTTAAGTTCAATCTGAAGGTTTCAAAGCTTGTCAAATGTAGTCTGTGCCTATCAAAAAATGTCAGAAATTCCGGGAACGGGAATTTTTTAACATACGTGTAATGGCTCAAATACCAGTCAGATTCTCCTCCTTTCGTAATAGCAAGCGTAGACCAAAGCAAAGAGGGAATGACAGAAATAATTTAATATCAGTATCGCTGAAATCTGATGCTGATGTTGGGACGCATACTAACAATATTAATAGGACAATTAATATTAACAACAACCTACTGTCAAAGTCTTTCCAAAAGTCGAAAATTAAGATTACCCACTTAGATATAAGATGGTTAAAGAAACAGGTCCATCTGCTACAATTATGTTGTTTAGTCAAAGAAAATTACTATGACGTTTTTGCTGTATCGGAAAGCTGGTTAAACTCCACGGTGTCAAATGCTGAAGTACAAATTTAAGGGTATAAATTATATGGGTTGGATAGAACAACAAGATCAGGAGGAGGCGTTTGCATTTATACTCGAACATCTTTGAAAGTTAAAATCCTTAGCAGCTCGCTGGGATATCACCATCTGGCTTTCACCAATTTTGGGTACAGATCCAGCATAAGAATCTAAAGTGAGTCATATTCTGTATCATTTATCATCCTCCCAACTGCTCTGTGGCATGTTTTGCAGATGAATTTTTAGAGAAACACACCCCAGCCCTTACTTATGGAAAAGAAGTGTTTATAATTGGCGATCTCAATATTGATATCTTAAAAGAGAATTAAGAGTCGCGAGTGCTTATGAATTTGTGCTCTAGTTTAAATTCAAAACAACTAACTAATCACTAGTCCAACCAGAGTTACATCACAATCATTAACTCGACTCAAGAACTTAATGGTGATTCACATGCATCAAGATAAAACAGACGAATTAGATTTAAAAACAGTTGCAAACGAGTTTATTGCGGCGAGCGAGAATCGAAAGCGGGTGTTTGGTCTTTTCAAATGCTAGAAACTTTTAATATTTGATTAGCGATAGTTCACTAACATTATAGCTAGTTGGGATTGACAAGTGGCGTGATTGATTGTATTTCTATCGCTAAAGTGAGACTTTCCATCCTTGGCCCCAGCCCCCCCAATAAAAAATTGCTTCCTACGGGACTGTCTTTTCTTGCTCTACTCTCCTGCAACTTCAATCCCTGTGAAAGCAAATGTCCATGCATTGTTTTGTAGCCAGTTTCAAAGTTGGTACATATTTTTCACCTGTGTACAAGTCATTGTTAATGATTACAAGAATAGTTTGCTCTTCCCTGATATGTGATAAAATGTAAGTCTTCCATATTTGCCAAATTATTACTGAATCTTGTCAGTTTGCACAAAGCCAATCGACTTTGTAGCGAAAATAGTCAATGTAAATATTACCATTTCTAGATTACGAATCACATTGATTAGAATTTCTCTAACACCAACTCAAATGAAATGAAATGGAGTAAAAGACATTTTAAATAATAACCTTACTGTTAAACTTGTAGCAAATGTAACAATATGATTACTTTGACATTGATCACAGTCATGTGACCTAAATAGTCTTGCATATGCATGGGGCGTTATTCACCTACTATATATTATGATATGTTAGATGGATTGGTAGATATATGTATTTCAAATAGCTGTATTGTAAGAGCTATAAGACAAAACAAACAGAAATATATCTAGATACTCTTTGGAAAAATGTTAAACTAAACAGCAAAAGTAAAACTATTCCAGATTTTCCAGAATGTTCTTACACAAAGTCTTAAAACGCAATTGCTGCCTGAAACTATGTCTGCTAGGACGAGCTAAGTCAAAGGAACAGCCGCTGACCCAATGACATGAGTCAGCTAGCTCAAACCCAAGGCAGGAAGTTTTTGAACAAGTGGCACATATCATACATGCAAACAACATGAAGTATAAAAGCTGATGTGAACGAATTGCAATCAACAAACAGTATGCA